ATTTACGCTCAAAACTATCATTTAAATCTTAAATTAATAGAAGATAAAATATATAAAAATTGACTTTATCACATAGATAAATGCAAAGTAGAATACCAAGGTTCCTTTCAAGAACCTTAATTAGTATTTCTCTAGTCCTAAATATAAGACTCTTTTTGTAGTGTAAATTACACTACGAAAAGAGTTTTATATTTAGAACCAGAAAAGTAGTACATATGTTTCAGAGCTTTCAACAAATCAAAGACATTTGGGTGCAGATAAGGGTGGAAACAGGCCAGATCTTGCTCTTAACAGGCCAGGCCTGTTTTGGAGCCTATTGGCCTGAGCCTGGCCTCTAGCCTATTACAGGCTTATTTTTCAGCCTGAGCTTGACTTGTATAAAGGTCTGACCTGGCTTGGCCTGGAGCATGTTAAAAAACCTGCATTTTTTAAAAATTCAAATTACAATTATATGTTTTTTTTTAAAAAAAAAGCTAAGATTAAAAAAGGCTACATAATAATTAATTTTTTAGTCTTGTCTTTTATTTAAATTTTAGTATCATAATTACTATTTTAAATTTTAATTATAATTTACAAGGATATTATTGAAAACTAATTGTAATTATATGTTAAAATTTAGACCAATACACAAAAAAAACTAAAATTAAGACAAATAAATAAAGAGAAAAAAAAACTACAAATTTTATAATGAATAAAGAGAGTATCATACTTTAATTAATATAATACATAAGTTAATTAATTTATCATTCTTTGAACAAAATTTTTCTTTCCTATTTTCTTTATATTTTTAAGATTTAGAGATCACATTATTTTTTAATATTATTATTTTAAATTATATTTTTATCTTTACTTGTCAGCTAAATTTCAAAAGTTAAGAAAAGATTAAACTATTAACTATATATTAAAATTAAAAAATAAATTAAAAGACTACATTAACAATAATACCATTAATTATTTTTTTTTATATTATAATTATAAATTTTTAACAGGTCCAGACTGGCCTAACAGGCTTAACAGGCTTTTTTGAAGGCCTAAACCTAGCCTGTTTAGTTAAACAAGCCTGAGCTTTTTTTTTTTAGAAACAGACCAGGCCAGGTTAGGCCAAACGCAGGCCAGGCCAGGCCAAATACAGGTTAGGCTATAGGTTCCTGACAGACCACCTGCTCTGTTTCCATCCCCAGGTGCAGGTACAAATACCTATCTGAATCTGTTCAGTGTCTTGAAGAACGGGAATAGTCTCAATCTAGTTAGTATAAAACAAAAGCCCCTATCGCTTGTTCCAGTCTTAAAGTCATAAACATGACTAAAAATGAATACAAAGCTACGCACTCCTTTTAATAGTAGCACCTTTTTTGTAGGGAAAATGACAAGAAAATGACTGTTGAATTCTGAAATGACAAAATGGGCATGGGGTATCAATTTGGAATTTGAATAATTCACCAAAAAGACTGAAATGCCCTTAATTTTTTCGGGAATCAGAGGGCGGGATATTGTGCAACGGAACTGGAGTTTGGTTGGCGGTTCTCCACTCGGCGAAACTGCATAGATCATAGGGTTCTCCGAACTCTCACATTGCACTCGGCGAAACTACATATGGTTGTCGCAAGTCTCACATTGCCATGGTTGAGGAACTGTGAACGAGGAATGTGAATAGCGTCCGACTTCTTCGTCTTTTTTGTGGGTCGCAGTGAGAAGCAATAAACCAGTGAGAAGCTTCAATCTTCAGAAGGGAGAGGGGGTGGCTAGAGAGAGAGATTTCGAGGGAGAGCACCTGTAAAGTCGTCACCGGTTGAGGAAGAAGTCGATATTCGTTCGGACCCCGGTGAGCCACCCAAATGTCTCTGTCTTGTGCTTGTCTGATTGGAGTGTTTTAATTTGGGGAAAACGGTGAATGTTGGTTGTAAAGGGGGAAGCAATGGTAAAGGCTTAAAATGGAATGTAAAGGTAGATTAGATTAAAAGTCGGTGCTTCTGTGTGTGACGGAATTACAGAAGTTGCTTGCTTGCTCTGATTCATATAACTCGGTCCATGTTTGACGAGATATCTCTCTGATTGTTGTTGTCTGATTGCTGTGTTGCTGTAATGTTGGAAGGCATAATATACGTGTGTGTTTATGATTGCTACACTACTTTTTAAATGCCCATAAATTGAGACCACTGTCGCACATGAGCCAGGATGCTTCCTGTTTCCGCCCCCTTGTTTGGTCTGTTCGTGTAATGGGCATTGCACATTTTTAGCATTGTGTATAGGACTAAAATGAGTTCAACTGTATCCCCATATTGGTTATGCAAATTTAACATTGTAAAATAAATTGAAAGGGGTGACTTTTCGTGGGTAGAACTCTGTTTTGAAGATATAGCTACCTAATGGGCATAACCTCAGTCATTTAGCGGTGCAATTTACCTGGGGATGAACATGCATATTCATTTCAGTATGTACCAAGTGAGAATAACCTTTGTGGCCTTCTTATGTATTGCTATAATTTACTTGGTCATCTGTGGCACTGTGTAGTAGTAATTTCCATAATATAAGTTACTTGAAGATGCAAATTTTGTAACATTTCATCGAGAAAGAATCACTTTTGATGCATATTCATTTATTTTTTAATCTGTTGGTCTGAGGATTGAAGAGGTAGAGATTAATCTGCTGGTTTGAGGATTGAAGAGGTAGAGGTCGCTGAAGTGCTGAGAAGCATCAATTGCATTGCTGTCATGGAGGAGGTTGGCGAAGTAACTGTGACTGCGACAAACGGTAATATGTAGTTGTAATAGGAATTAAGTGGTTGAGTTATATAGGTTTGGTAAGATTAGATTGTTTTTAGTTTGTTGTTAAAGTGTATTATGTCGTTAGTCTCTATTTTCTGCTCTGTTCTGTGAAGTGAGAAAGAAGCAATAACATTCATTACGTGATCAGCAAATTTAGTTATCTGAGTAGTAAATAGTCGAGGTTCATTTTGTGGCTAAATAACAACACCTATAATGTGAATGACTACACTGGAAATGGTAATGACAACTTTTTTGAAATGCAAAGAAAGTTGAGCCGTTCAACTGACCAGATTTAGTTATTTATGCTTGTTGTAGAAGGAGGGCCAAGTGAAGAAGTGAAGAATGGCTACATGTTGTTTAGACGAGAATTTCTTAAGGGTGGGGAGAAGTTTAAGAATATGTCTGAACAAGCGAAAAAGGCATCAAAGGCATGGAAGCAGTTGACACCAGAGGAGCAGAAGAAATACAGTGATAGGGTGAAGCAATCAAGAAAGGAAGGGATGAAGAAGAAGAGAAAGAAAAAAGTGGCTTTTAGCACTCGTTGCTCGGTTCGGCAATTTAAGTCATTAGTGGACTTCATAAAAGATGATGAAGATTTGAAAGTGAGGGTACAAAATTTAGGCTTTGGCCATTTACTTGACATTGGATGTGAGAGACTCCCTCGTGACCTCATAGTATGTGTTCTCCGAGCATATGATCCGCCTACCCATCAATTTCTAATAAGAGGGATAATAAAGGAAATAGAAGCAAATGATGTTGTAAACTTGTTGGGTGTACCCCACACAGGGGAGAAGGTAAAAATGGACATATGTGATGATGATGAGACATACCAGAGGTTGAAGGAGGAATTTGGTAAAGTCCCTTGTACGAAGATACTCAATGACATTAAATCTGGGCAGAAGAAAGATGAGTTTGAGTTCCTGTTTATTCTGTACACACTTGAGAGTTTTTTAACTCCTACTTCACAAACAACTGTGAGTGACAAGTTAATAAGAGTCATGTGCTGTACCATGAAGGGATTTCACCAATTTGATTGGGCCACGTACATTGTGAAGCACTTGTGGAAAGAGATGGGAGATTATGTGAAAGTGTACACAAAAGCAAAGAAAGACGAAGATGAAGATGAAGGAAGCTGCAATGTGGGAGGATGCATCTACCTCCTATTGGTATGTATTTCTGACTTATGCTTCTAAGTTATTGTTTTCTTTATTTGTGGAATTGGCAAGTTAATGATTTACTGTTGTAGTTATATTTTGCTGAGCACTTCCCACTATCCAAAACTGTTGAGAGAGGGTCCCTAAATGCCATTCAATTCTGGACTGATGAGAGGATAAGGAAGCTGGAAAAGAAGGAGAGGGAAAGCAAGAGGGGTTTACTGTATAAGGGCAAGGGAAGTATGGATAGAAGTGGAAGGATGAAGGAAAACGCAGAAGTGTGGCTCATTTACACCCGGTATGTGCTTTCGTTACTAATTTTCATTCTCATTAGCAAATAATCTCATGAAAAAAGTGTTTACTCATTTTAAATTGTTTGCTGCAGGAGTTACAGAAATTGCACGGACGATTGATGGCTCAGATCGAATTAAGCACTAGGAGGCTTATAAGTGCAATGGAAGATGAGCTAGATAAGGTGCAGATAAGGATAGAGGAAAATAATGTGACCACAGATGATGAGGACCCTATTGACGTCCCAGATGATGATAAGGGAGATGATGATGCATTTGGCGATGAAGATTCCCATGATCATGATGGACATGAGTCTGATGATGAAGGTGATGATAGAGATGAGTTCCACGAGGGAGATGATCAGGGAGACGATGATGCAACTGGCTCAGATAGGGGTGATGACATCGGTGTTGCAGCAGAAGGTGCAGACAAAGAAATTATAGAGTCTCCCCTGCCCTTGTCCCCCATGGACAAGGGATGTCAACTCCGGAGATCGCAAAGGGAGATGAAATCCGCTATCAATTCTCCATGGATTTTGACGAAGCCAACTAAGAGGCGAAAGAGGCCCATGGATGACAAGGACCGGTTTTATGACATAGTTTCCTGTATGTGTTCAAGCAAGGAGGGTGACATGTATGTACATATCCACTACCCACGTAATCATATTCATTACAATTTTGTGGTAATTGACTACATGCATAATGATATTGACAACATATTTTTAGGCCTTTGGTGAAAATCTCTGATGAAGATATCACTCGGGATCAGCTAAGGACACTTGGCAGAATTGAGAAAATAGGTAACCGGGTAAGTAGAATATTTGTGATGAGGTCATTTAATTGTTTAGTAGATGCTGCGTTTTGGGTTCATCAAAACAATAATCTCTTTACGTACAGCTGATGTCAACTGTGTGCAAGACTCTAATGGCTGATATGGAGAAGGAAGGGCAGGTGAAGCGGCACATTTTTTATGTTGATTTTATGGTAAGCTTGTTGAGATGTTAGTTTTTTGTCGATTGATATTGATAAATGACTAAAATGTTCATGTTTCAGGCAATAATGGCAGCTAACCCAAAGCTGTGGGATGCTACAAAACGGAAGAAACAATTTTTACCTGAAAATGTAGGCTACAACATAGGAGAATGTGATTTGATCTTTGGACCCACACTTGTTGGCGCTCACTGGTTCTGTGTTGTGCTTGAGCCTAGCACAATGAATTTCTATGTACTGGACTCAATGAAGCCAAATTTAGAGGGTAAGAAGAAGAGCAAGAAGAAGGGTGTAATTATTGATGACATGACGACCATCGTCACTGAATGTGTAAGGATAATGCAACTCATCTTCTATGATTGACATTTCATTTACCTTTTATTTACAATTGCGTAATGATATTGTGCAGAGGAATAGATTTTATAACATTATTGAGATAGTTAAGCCTAATGCCACTGGGAAGAAGAAAATGAGTGATATCATTTGGGCTCCTGTTCCGCAACAAAACAATCTGTGAGTGGTTTATGTTGTTGATATTATTACGTCTCAAAGCAGCCCAATGTGTTATTTTCATTCTTTTACATCGTTGGGATGTTTTGATGTGCAGGCGAGACTGCGGTGTTTGACAAACTCAATTATTTTTATATATTTTGGTATCTTTTATATGAGTTTTGTCAGCTTAATTGGTCCCTTTTTGCCTTAATTGATTTAATTTATTTTATTTTGAATTATTATTTTATAGGGGCAAAATTGTCATATTTTGGTTTAATTGTGAGTAATTGGTTTTTTGAGGAGAATTAATGCTACCTTATTTTTGAATTTTGTTTGCAGGTTTTTGGAAGAATTAAAAATAAAAATAAAAAAATAAAAAAAATAAAAAAGGAAAAAAATATAACAATAATAAAAGGGGAGAGCAAAACGCAACGTTTTGCCCTCCCCCAACCTAATATTCAATAATCACTCACGCACAAAGGACAATCGGGAGAAGCTGGAGGGCGGCTGGGGCAACACACACGCGCGAAGACGCACACGCGAAAGACGCAAGCGGGGCGGGAGGAACTCACGAGCTGGAGGCGGCATGAATTGAAGAGACCAGCGGCGAGGAAGAGAGAACGAAGGACCATAGCTTCACGGCAAAATCACTCCTGCAGATTCCATCTTCATTGTTCTTCATGGCTTAACCGAATTGGAATTTTGGTGGAGCTGTGGTGATGGTTAGGAGTAGCTAAATCCTTCCAATTCTCTAGAGCAATGGTTATGGCTTGAACTTAGAGCTTCAAAGGGGAGTTTTAACTCTTCTAATATTTACTTCTTTCATTATAATTGTGATTTCTAGGTCTTAGAATGAATTTTATAATGTTTGAATGGGCTGTGATGATTTATATTTGTATTGAGATTGGTTGTAGTTGTTGGAATCTTTGATTAGCATTTAACATTATGCTATGATTAGCTTTAATTTCTTTACATTGTACTGGGTCAGACTATGTTTTGAAATTATTGTGAACATTTAGTGGTAATTCAAGGTGGCTTGGTTATTGGACTAAAAATGTTCATCGCTTTTCTTTGATTTTCTTTTTGGCTAATTGTGCTGAAACAGTTTAATTGTGAATAATTAATATGCAAGGTGGCTTGGTGTTGATTATTCTAATTAAACCGAGTCTAGGGGGTGGCCCTTAGAGTCTTTTGAATTTAGCTAACTCCCAAATTAATTGAAGTAATGATAGCCTTAATCATTGTGCTAGAGGATTGCTTTTCCATTTGCTATCACTTGTTAATTCTCTTTGTTTATCTCATTCATATCCATTTTATAAACTAAAAATCCAAAAATTATTTACTCATTTTACATCCTTTTAAATTTTGCCAATCAGGACAAGAAAATCAATCCCTTTTCAAGTCAATTCTTTATTTTTGATACTTAGTTGCTTAGGATTTCAAATAAAGGCTCCTCAAAGTAAACGACCCGAGTTTTGCACTATATTGCATTGCTTGGATTTATTTTTTATTGGGAACCCCAAGGTGAACGACAAAGGCTCTCATCAGTGTTCATGTATTAATATGGTTGAGTAAATGGAAGCCCGGTGAGATACTTCACTATACGGATGAACAAGTGGCTGAATTCCGACGAAACCTCATGTGGTGGCTAGTGAATCATGAGCTTAATTCAAGACGTGATGAAGCATTAAGCTTGCTTTCATCAACCTAAGCCACCACACTGACCAAAAGACGCCATCTATGATAGGAGGAGACATTATGTAGATTAGGCATATAGTATTTGTAAAAGGAGTGTTAGTTTGAAGTCTTAATATTTGACTTATGGTTGGAGGTACTAAGTGGCTGCCAGTTGTTGGCCTAATTGCAATCCTTTTTGGGATAATTTGAGTAAAAGAGTTATGGTATTTACAACATGCCATGTGACTTCCGTGATGATAATCACAAGTTGATTATTTGTGCCCCAAATTACATCCACTTGAACCCAGGTTAACTACACAAGTAATAGGATTAACAACTTTCGGATTGAGAATTGCAACCTCTGTAATGATAGTTACCACATCGCTGTTGCCATTTGCATCTGAAGTCTTTCAAGCCCAAATCACGTTTTTTGAATCCATTTTCGCTACCCCAGTAATGATAATGACAACATTCGTAATGAAAATTACAACTTTTTTAATGATTGTTACCACCTCGCTATTGCTTTTTGCAACTGCATTTTCGTCCCCACGTATAAATTGTCAGAATTTCACAACCTGGGTAATGAAAATCACAACATTGTTAAGGGAAATTGCAACGATAGTAATGACATTTACCACTATGGTTTCCCCATTTGCATCCCTATGTTCAGGAAATTGTCCCATTTCCGATTCCCCCATCTCAAACCCACGCATCAAATTGTTCAGGAAATTTTACTACCCCCTTAATGATAATGACAACATGGGTAATATTAATTGCAACTTCAGTAACGACATTTACCAGTCTGCTTTTCCCATTTCCGGTTCCCTTAACTGAGACCCACGCATCAAATTCTTCAGGAAATTGTACTACCCCCGTAATGATAATGACAACATTGGAAACTTTAATTGCAACTTCAGTAATGACATTTACCAGTCTGCTTTTCCCATTTCCGGTTCCTTTAAGTCAAACCCACGCATCAAATTGTTCAGGAAATTTTACTACCCCCGTAATGATACTGACAACATGGGTAATTTTAATTGCAACTTCAGTAACGACATTTACCAGTCTGCTTTTCCCATTTCCGGTTCCTTTAAGTCAAACCCACGCATCAAATTGTTCAGGAAATTTTACTACCCCCTTAATGATAATGACAACATGGGTAATTTTAATTGCAACTTCAGTAACGACATTTACCAGTCTGCTTTTCCCATTTCCGGTTCCCTTAACTGAGACCCACGCATCAAATTCTTCAGGAAATTGTACTACCCCCGTAATGATAATGACAACATTGGAAACTTTAATTGCAACTTCAGTAATGACATTTACCAGTCTGCTTTTCCCATTTCCGGTTCCTTTATTTCAAAGTCAAGTAACATTATTTCAGGGAGTTTCACTAGCCTGGAAATGATAATAACAACATTGGAAATGTGAATAACAACATCGTTGATGACATTAACCACTCCAGTCATACCCATTGGCAACTTCCACCATCTCCCTTGAGGGCATTAAACAAAAGGTCATCTGTGTTGCCAAAATAGCATAGAAGTACACCAAAAGAGCATCATAGGATGTCTACATTAACATTCAGACTTTACTACATGTGTAATTGAATTTACCACTGAAGTGATAATATTTACCAAAAACCAGTAGGCCCATCACAGAAGGTACATAACTTATATTCAAATGACAAGTTAACAGTAAGATTAACCCACCACCTAATGTTTCCTCCTCATTCACATTACAAAACATATCCTACCCAGTGAATATCATTTACAAAAAAGACAGCCTACCCATCATACGATTTTTACATTAACATTCAGACTTTACTATATCTATAAAGGAATTGACCACTGACGTGATAATATTTACTAAAAACCAGTAGGCCCATGACAGAAGCTACATAACTGATATCCAAATGACAAGTTAACATTAGGATTAACCCACCGCCTAATGTTTTCTTGTCATTCAGATTACAGAACATCTCCTACCCAGTTAACATCATTAACAAAAAAGATAGCCTACCTATCAACCCTTCTCCCAAAAAAATTAAAAAGGGTTCAAGAGTCATTCCTTTACTATAACAAAAAAATTACCCCTGTTGGTATTGACATGAAACCTTAAGTTGGGTTTGGATTCTTGCATGTTCTTCTTGTGTGGCCAACTTGCTGGCATGCACTACAATGGTAGACCTTCTTGTTTTGAAACTGCGACTCTTGCCTATTTATCCTAGGCCTTCTAGGTGGTCGACTAGTCAAAGGTGGTGCCAAAAACACTTGACTTGCTATATCTTGCAGCCGATAGTTATTAGGATTTGGCATGTCGATTGTCACCACTGGAGTCATCGTCCTACCATAAATCTTTTGTTAGGACGTAATCTTGTAGCATTCTTCAACAAAATCATACACATTGCAATTCAAGGCCTTGACAGCTGCACATGCATGTGGGCATGAGATGCCTGACATTTGCCAACCTGCACAGCTACATTCACCTTTTCCAAGATCAACATTAATGGCTCCTTTTGCTGTATGGACACACACCCTACCCCTTCCGTAAGGAACACTTAACATCTGTGCAGATCTCGCCACATTTTCCATCAATGTTGCATTTGTATTTGGGCCTACACCATTCTTCCATTTGCTCATTGCCATGCTTGCTGCATATATCTTCTTGGCTACTTTTTCACGATGCTCATGTATAAGTTGGGCAACATTATATCTTCTCTCCTTCAGCATCCATGCATTGAATGACTCTGCAAGGTTTGTTGTTATGTTGTCCCATCGTTTAAAAGGGAACTTGCTTAAGGCCCACTTGTGAATATCACCATGATTGACAAGCCATTCAAATAATTGGGAATTGAAGTGTCTCATGTTATCCATTGCTTGATCAAACTCTGTGTCAAGCCTTGCATATGCAATGGCATCTAGGAAATGCAGTCCATCCTCCCTTGTGTTGCCACTTGTCTTCCTTCTTCCTCTATTTAACTTGATCATTTGTGTACTGAAATTCTCCTTAACATGTCTGTAACAGTACGCATGTCGCTCACCTCCGAATATTGCTTGCATAGCACCTATAATTGCATTGTGTCAGTCTGAAATGATTGTTAATTGTATTGACCCAACTATCTCCTTGATCATATGTAAGAACCATGTCCAATCCTCAAGCATCTCTCCCTTCACAATCGCAATGGCAAAAGGTAATAATTCGTTGTCCGCATCATAAGCCGACGCTGAAAGTAGTGTCCCCTTATACGGTCCACTTAAATGACTTCCATCAATATACAGTACATGTCTAGCACCAGCAATAAAACTCTATACAACACCCATAGGCTATGAATACACGCTCAAATCTGTTGTTCCTTGTAGCCACCCATTTTGCCACTGTTTTGTCATCGGTTTCCTTCAACCGGTCACATATCCATGGAATAAGCATGTAAGAATGATCAGGTCTGCCATGTATGTCCTCCAACGCTTTTTCCTTGGCCCTGTATGCTTGCTTATATGTCAACTTCACACCATAATCTCTTTCCAACCTCTTTTTTATATCATTTGGACGCATGTCTATATGATCCCTAACCTCTTCAATTATAATTGATGATGTCAAGTTAGCTGATCCACCATGTGTCACATGAAGATTGTCTTGGGCATTATGAACATGCTCATTTTTGAATGTCGTTACACGTAAAAATGCTGGAGTACTCTTTGCAGCTGCTCTTGCACTGATCCTCCATGGACAACCTTCAACATTGCATTTGACATACATATGGGCATTAGAATTCTTCACATATTTATACTCAAATTTGTTTGCAATGCTGAATTTGTGTAGTTTCTTCTTGAACTCATCCGCATCTGGAAAAGTCTGCCTCAATCCTAACAATACTGTCTTCCATTTCAGGGAATTCATTCCTGGCAAAGGAGTTGGTGCACTCTCTATTGCATATGGCAGGCTAAGAACATTTTCAGCTGCTATGTAATTCACACATTCGACAGCATCCTCAATCATTGGCTCATCATTTTGCTGTGACAGTCCTGACAATTTTGACATGCTGCATGTATAATTACAACATTTGTTATGATATTAACAACAACATTATCGCAAGTAACAACTTCCATAATCCGAAACTTGTGACTTACCTGTTTCGATCAGCCACTTCTTCCTCCGTATTCTCATTACCTTTAGCTGCTACGTAAACATGTGCATTACTATCATTATACTCAAATAGGTTGTCAACTTCATCATCATCAATAAGATCTATTAATATCCTATCATTCAAGCCCAATGTGTATTTAATGTCGCAACCATTACTATCTACACCAAACCATTCTCCTATCATAACCCTCAAATCTTCAAGCCTTATACCCTCCTTGATCACTCTTACCCTGACAGTTTCACCATAGCACTTAACTTCACCATCACCATTTTTGCAAACTTCCCACCCACATGAAAGTAACAAGCAAGACGCTTTGACGATTTTGACCTAATGTTAGATGTCATCAAAGCTACCTAACCTGCACCACAAAAGCATAAATCAATATTTTAGTTCCCTAATAATCAATTTCATTTATCAGGATTTCGAAACTTTTCTTGCAATTTCACAAAAAATGCAACACCCAAAATACGTCCGCGCACACTTGCTACATTGACAACTTAAATATGGGATTTCACAATTCCAATAATGAATTTGACAACACTGACCACCTCATGCTTACTGTTAGCCGTCAAACTTCATGCCCACGTTATCAGTTCCCACTATTTTTCCATTTCCGATGTATCACTCTCTCATCCTGGTCAAATTCTTCATTTAAACCATCTACACTCATAATCCCATCCCCATTAGACCATGTACCAGTAAACCGACTTGAAAACCCAAACCCATCATTAAGCTCCACTTTCTTACGTAATACCCACGTTCAACCCCTCTCTCACTACAAACCAGGTTGCCCACAAAGCAATTCCACCGTAATAAATCAGATTTGTACAATGGTGAGAGTTGGAGGAGTAGATAACAGCATTTTAGGAGAAATTTTCCTTACCTTTTCCGTCTTCTCAACGTTTGACTCTGCTCTACCTCCGTTTTCAGCTTCTCATCTCTCCCTCTTGTTACGTGTCATGCCTTTGTCTTCATGAGTTCAGACTAATTCAGGGGCATTTCAGTCTTTTTGGCGAATTATCCAAATTCCAGATTGATACCCCATGCCCATTTTGTCATTTCAGTAATTTACATGCCCATTTTGGCATTTCAGAATTCAACAGTCATTTTCTTGTCATTTTCCCTTTTTTGTATTTGTTTTTCAAGGGAAAAACAATTACAACTCAAAAGCCCAAGATGCAAAACTACCTGAATAAGAAACAAAAACGTGTCCGTATAGAGCCCAGTAGTGTGTGGCCCAAAGAAAGATAAGGCCGTTTGAAAGGTTCATTTGAATAACATTGAGGGATTTTTTTTTTTGTTGAATAAGAACTTACTTCGATGGAAAATACAAGTCAAAAACAAAGCCTAGAAGCTAACCAGCAGAGTACCCTAGAAAAAGCCTATCCTATCCTTCCTCACCACGACCGACCCTTGCAGAAGAGATGGTGGTTAAGAATATAAAAATTTCCTACAAGATCATGAGCAAATTTCGCCGAGCCATACATTGAGGGCTTTCATTGAATCAATGAAAACATTTGTACGCAAAAAAAAATTCAATAAAAACATTGATTTTTCTACATTTCTTTTCCCAACAAAATTTAAGACCTTCTAAAATACCAAACTCAACAATAGTGTTGCCACCAAATATTACTTGACAAGTCATAAAGTTGTGAATACAAATCCTATTATTTGATATAAGGACCATATTAGTAAGTAATATATAAGTATTTTGCATGCACTCTTTAAATTTGAAGGCATACTTTGATTTCGATAAGCTCTTGATATCTAACTTATCTAAATTTTTTTGTATAAAGGAAACAGTAATGTTACATAGGGTCATATGGAAGCTTTTATGGTTTTTTTTTTCGTTTTAATAAAATCTCTTTATCCAGCTGCCAATTTTGTCTCGAATAATGTAACCATAGGTGGCAGATCCTCTATGATTAATAGGGCCATCAACATCTAATCTGACCAACCAAATTAATGCGGTATCCTCTAAGGTGATGCCCGCTTTATTTTTTGCATTTCATACAATCCAACCTTGTAAGAGTTAAAAGCAAACTATTCCTCCAGTCTTCAATATAAAGCTTATTTTGTAGTATAATTTATACTATAAAAAATGTCTTATATTTAAGATCGGTAGTTTGAACTTTGAAGGGCTTGACCAACCGTTTGTGTTTTTTTTTTTTTGGATACAAACGTTAGTGAACATTGTTATGTTGGATCTGATCCTTGATGATCCGGGGATAGGAGGCTTTGTGCGGAATAAAGTTTGGGCTTGAGCCATTCTGTAATGACGTTGACCCATGGTGACAAAATTGGGCTCAAGCCCTAAGTGTCTCAGCATATTAGCAAATAATGATACTTCATCTTTGTTGAAGACTTTGATTTAATTCTTAGTATAAGATCTTATTTATTTTTTTTATATTACATCAATTATCTTGTTTCAAAGTATTCCTATTTTTTAGGTGTAACATTGTATTCCTACTTAATACAATTTTTTTTTTTGAAAATTTATATGAATGAATGTCAATAGCCCAACAAATAAGGGGGTGTTTCAGCATACAATTTAAATATGAAAAGTAAAAAATTACATTTTTTTGCCAGAACAAACAATTACAATTAATTATTAACCAATATATATTTAATTTTTCATAAATTGCACAAAAATGAGATAACATTTAAGGTTTTTATTTGCAAAAAATTGTTAATACTGAATTACTAGCAAGAAGAAAATCTCTAATATCATATCCAACAATATACACACGTGTGGCACAGGCATAAGATAATCAAGAAGTGAAGTTGCAAATGAATTTATTCCATACATATCGGATTCTCGAGCTCTCAAGTCTCACCTCAACTTTAATATTTATTTTATTTTATTTAGTTGAGTATCTATATGTGAATTTATTCTAAATATAAATAATCCTGGACAGCTTACCTTGTTTCCTTGATATTTGTATATCTGAAAATCTTCTTAAGTGTGAAAACTGGTATGTCATTTATTGAGTTCATTATGGCTTTCCCACATATCTAGTCTGTCTTCGCTTTATTAAAAATCACTACCATAAATGATATTCATCTCATTAGTGTTTATAATATTTGAAATATTTTTACGTATTCAATTGATATAACAAGATTTTGATGAGAAAATAATTAGGAAAGATATAAGAAATTTACATATATTTAATTTTTTGGAAAAATTAATCTTCCTGTCCTTACGGTTTCACCTGAATTTTAATAAGATCCTTATTTTTTTCCTTTTTGTCAAGTCCGTGTAATTTTATTTGTTTTTAATCAAGTTCATGTAATTCTTTTATTAGGTCTTTACAGTTACAACTAATTTTTAATCTGCTTCCATCTAGTGCTTTTTTTATTAATCATCTGAAACTATAGTACCTGATAAAAAATAAGGTAAAATTATAAAGACCTTATAAAAAGAAAAAAGCTATAGGACCTGATTAAAAATCAGGTGAAATTATAGAGACCTACAACCTAATTTTCTCTATATATCGATCCCCCTCCCCATCTTTGTTCTTTTTTCTATCTGGAGAAGTCTACTGTACACTAATTCTTTTTTGGGAATATATGATAATCCTTAATTGGTGTCCCATCGTTTGAGTGCGGTTTTACCCTGCGATTAATAACCTTATATTATTAAATCGAATTTAATTATTGCACAATAATATTCACCAGAGTCAATATCTCTGACAAACATAAAAGTGTTCTTAATTCTATTAAGATTTTGCTAAAGTCAAAATCTGAATTATAATGCCTAGCAGTATAAACCGAGGAGGTACATATTTCACTCATAAATGGAGATTGAGATTTTATAACTTCCTAATCTTGGACTATATAATAAAAAAGTAACAAATCATTAAAAAGGGACAGTAAATTAATCGGATTTGTTGCAATAAACCAAATATTTAGCAGTATAAATACCAAAATGTTGATCACCAATTCCAACATCGGTAAAATATTTTGCTTTTTTTTTTTTTCCTCCTACAAACACGAAGAGAAAGTCCAGTTCAGGTCGCCAAAAGATCCCAATTGAGAAAATACCAAAGAAAAGGCATCTTCAAGTCACCTTCTCAAAGCGTCATTCTGGACTCTTCAAGAAAGCCAGTGAGCTTTGCACGCTCTGTGGTGTTGAAATCGCCATCATCGTTTTCTCTCCGGCCGACAAGGCCTTCTCCTTCGGCCATCCGGAAGTGGAATCCATCGTCGATCGTTATATCAGTCCAAACCCCACGTCAGAATCCGGCGCTCACCCTCTAGTGGAGGCTCGCCGGAATGCAAACGTCCGGGAGCTCAACATGCAGCTTACACAGCTTCTAGGGCAACTGGAAATGGAGAGGAAGCGAGGAGAAGAACTGGACCAGGTGAGGAAGGCGAGGCAGAGACAGTTCTGGTGGGAAAACCCTATTCAAGAATTAGGGTCTAATGAGTCCCCGTTTTGATGGGTATTAGTTTTGGTGCCAACTTGGGGTCGTTACTTTTTAGAAAATTAATTTGGTATATTTTAATTTTTAACAGATTTAGCAGTTTTACATAGATAAAAGTCAGACGTTAAGGAGATGAAGCCACAATGGGGACTTGTTCAATTCCTACATAATATATCGTATCGTAAAAGTATTATTTGTTTATTTAATGAAAAAAATATTTGTATTTATTTCCCGCATTTACTTCGCAATTATTACCCGGCAGATCATTGATGCCACAAAAAAATAACATCCACTTCATGGCTTAGCAGGTCTTTTTTCTTTTTTAAGTGCTCTTGTGACGTTTTATTTCTTCAAACAAAAAATAATTCTATAGTTTTTTCAATGTTGTGGTGTATATATTTTTTAAATTAAGTTATGTGTTCATCATGAAGCTTGAATTATGATATATAGATGCATTGTCATTTCTCTACTTTTGGATAAAAATGTAAAGGTGGTTTAAAGGACATTATACCATCAAATAAGAAAATATTTATAATATTGATTTTTTACACACATTAAGATATGATAATAGATATTGTCATCAATTTTTTATTTTTCAAACAAAAATATTAATTTTATTATTCCTAGAGATAAATTCACGCATTAAGATATGATAATAGATATTGTCAATTATCAATTTTTTATTTTTCAAACAAAAATATTAATTTTATTATTCCTAGAGATAAATTCACGCATACTCCTCCGTTCCAATATATACTACATTATATAAACAACTTCTTTTTATATAGAGCTGATCCTAAATATAAGCAATATATTTTTTGTCTGAAATTTTAAATATTCTTTACACTTTTTTCCATTAAATATGTCTTTACACTACTTATTACACATTCTCTCTCACTTAGTCTCTTCATGAGTAAGAGTATATTTAAAAAATAAATTATATTTCTAACACGTTCATTGTTTTTAACTAATTTTAATCAATATTTTGATTTATGTAATTTGGTTAGTTGTTGCTTATGAGGAAGTATTAGTCACGAAGAGAGAGAGATAAATCTAAAGCATTCATTTGTATTGTTAATACTTGCCATACACAAGTACTCTTTTTTAAGAACACAAACCAATGTACCTATTTATACAGATTTCTATGACACTTCAAACAACCTTACATTTAGCATAATTTACTCCTAGTCCCAGATGGGTCACTTATTCCTAAACACACAAGGGTAACTGATATTTATTTTGACTCACATTTCCAAGAGATCAGAGTTTAATCATGATACTAGAAACGACCCCTCTCAAATCGAAGATTGCAGCTGAGTTTAATAACCCTACCAGCAATCTTGTTCTTACAACAGAGTGGGATATCTGAGATCGCCTTCTCCAAGCAAGCATTACAGTCTGGCCTAGACAAATCCGGCAAGCACTGAACAAGACCATAAACAGTTTCAGACTCGTCAGCTATTTTGCTTCCCACAGATAGCTTAAAGTTAGAGTCCCCAGAAGCAGCTTCGCTTTTCAGTCTCTGCATTAGATCATTAAGCGCACTTGTGAACTCTTTTTTGTCTGTTGCATTTTGTGGGTTGTTGAAACTATAGGCAAATTCAGGATCCAGGTATCCCAACAATGGACGACTTGCGTATTGAAAAGTGCAGAAGTCATAGTACCCAAATGCTTCTTTCTGATTGGGACATACCTTAGGGAGAAGGGTTTTGGCATCGTTGAGGCAATTCCGACAAGTTATCGGATTCACGTCTCCCCGGCACAGACCTCGTACGTGAACTATGTTGGGGGCTTGACCATACTCGGAACTGTAGAAGCCATGGTCAACAATGGTGTTGGGAGTGATTTTAGAAAGAAGAGTATTGAGGTTGGTTTCATAGGGACTTCTGTTTGGGTAGGCTTCTTTTTCCTGTGAAACACTTGTAAAAAGTGAAGTTAGGCTGGCCGGAGAGAACCGTAAGGTAAACTAAGAACAAAACCAGAGCTAAAGAAATGACAGACGTTGTCATCATTGGAAGATAATGAAATGTGATGAGATGAGATGCGAGTAAACTACAGGTATTAGTAAAAAAAAAATCCTCAAGTTGCTTCTATAAGTCAACAAACTAATGAAAAATATTAGTTTAAGTGCTCATCGCAGCATTGATGTAAAATCTAGATCATTCAAAATTAGTTTTGATGGTTTAGATTTAAAATTTTTAACTAGTAAATTTTAAATAAATAAATTATTTTTTTAAAAAAACTTACAGTTAAGATATTATATTTATTTTGGATTATATACTTATTAAAAGGGAAATATTTTTTAAAAAAATAAAAATATCAGGTATTATATTTTGACTGTTCATATTAAATTTAAATGGTTGAGATTCGATAAGTATTTGCACTAAAATAATTGGTGTATGTGGTTCAGGTTTCTAGAAATACTAGTCATGCGCATTCTTATTGTCAGCTCAGTACTCATTACCTTTTGCATTATTTTATATGATACTGTAGTTAAATTGATGTAGAGTTACTTACAGCACATATCATTATAAGCCAGCTATATGTCCACTCACATTTCTACATTATTGGAATATAAATGGCCACTATGTCTGCAGGGTCTCCATTATATTCCCATTATAGATGGGAATGTTTTATGCACGTCATTCGTGATGCACAATGGATAAAGGCCTCTTCTTATTTTCATTTTTAACATTGTTCTATGAATATTATGAAAATTTTAGGAGTTACAAAATTGAAAGAGGAGTAAGTTGGACGAGCAAAGTATTGTTCGTCTGTGTGTAACATAGTAATACAGATAGTACCTTTATATCTTAGGAGGGAACGAAATGCGCCACAAATGAAAGAAAAAATTAAAAATTATTTAGTTATTTGTAAAAAAAATGGTGTTGGTATCATCTACATGAAAACTTTCACTATTAAACAAATCTCTCAACTAAATCTTATATTTAAGATAGAGCAGTATACATGACACAAGTCAAGGAAAACATGGGATTAGATCTCGGAAAACAATTATCAATTGCATGTGGTCAACGGTGTGTGCGCGCGCGCGCGTGCCGCTCATTATGGTAAACCATACATTGCGTCTTTAATTTCTTCCACTAATTAATCTGTATCATTTTTTTGGGCCAATTCCACAAATATACACTATCATCCATGTTCGTTTTGACAAAATGCGTGCGTGGAACAAAGTAGTGGAATATCACAGCCGTCCAGTGAATTAAACCAATAAGATGCATCAATATCTTGTCACTCTGTATTTAAGAAAATGTACCAAACAAGCCAGCCATGGCTTCAGAGATCCATTATGGGGAAGGTATCTCAGAAGTAACAAGATATATATCCTGTGAACGAGATACTGCTAGCTCTATCCAAGCATCATCATGTGAACGAGAATATACTGTTTCAAGCATAAACAAATATGGCCTCAGTTGATTACTCCTTAATATTATGCTGGCTAACTAGGTGTTGGCCTTGAAGGTGATATTCAAATGCTCAGAAGTTGTGCAACTTCTATATTTGCTATACAGGATGTCGAGTTTCACTCAACATATCTCAATTTTTGCTGCATGGGTCACTGTGATTAAAGGTTTATATACTTTGCAAGTTCCCCGGTTCATCTTCGTTATATGCTGTAATTTAGAATTATGTTGTATTAAATCTTGTTATATATTGTTTTTCGTTGGCCACCAAAAAGACCTAATTGAATTAGAATTTCACTCCTGTTATATGCTCTGCCAGGCTACCATTTCAAAAACATGCTTATATTTTAGGCTTTTCATATTCTCAGATGTATTAAGCTTGAAAGGCGAGTTTTTATTTGGTTTTCATCAAGACAAATGCAATTATTTACTATATGCACCTTCTGCAAGTTATTATTTATTATTTTTCAGACCAACAACCTATGCATGTTCAAAAGTTGGAACAGTTAAGGGGAAATACTGAGAGAAACTTGACTTCTTTTGTGTGATGAAAACCTCTGGAGTATAACCGTTGAGACACATAGTTGAAGCTTTCTGATATTCATGCTTATACAACTTTGCGACCAAACCTATATACTTCTGATTGTCACATGTTGGACCAAGGACAAAAGTCACACAAAACTAACACCTGAAAGCTCAAAAACTCACTAAAAAGGTGTGATTAATCATTATAGAAATCGACCCGCTCAAATCGAAGATTGCAGCTGAATTTTATAACCCTACCACCAATCTTGTTCTTACTACAATCTGGGATTTTCGAGGCAGCGTTCCCTAAGCAAGTATCACAATCTCTCCTAGACAAATCCGGCGAACACTGGGCAAGACCACACACAGTAGTTTCAGACTCATCACCTACAATTCTGTATCCCGCATGGAACTTAAAAGTAGAGTCTCCAGAAGCAGCTTTGCTTTTCAGACTTCGCATTAGATCGTTAAGCGCAATTGTGTAACGTACTGGGTCTTCTGCATCTTGTTGATTGTTAAAACTGTAGGAAAAATCAGGAAACCGATATATCCCCAACAAGGAACGACTTGAGTATTGAAAAGTGCAGAAGTCATAGTATCCAAAAGCATCCTTCTGATATGGACACAGCTTTGGAAGAAGGGTTTTGGCATCGTTGAGGCATTTCCGACAAGACAATGGCTCCACATCACCTCGGCAAAGCCCTTGTGCGTGAACTTTATCAGGGCTTTGGCCGAAGGAAGAATTGTAGAAGCCGTAGTCAATTATTGTGTTGAGAGTGAAACTAGAAAGAAGAGCATCGAGGTTGGCATTATAGGCACTTGGCTTTATGTAGGTTCCTCTGCCAAGTGAACAATTGTAATAAACGAAGCTGGGGTGGGCAGCAGAGAGAATGAAAAGATGATGAAAGAAGAAAACCAGAGCCAAAGAAATGATACAAGAGGTTGCCATGATTGGAATGGAATGTGATGATGGATATGACTGTGTACTTAATTTAGCAACGATAATAACATCCTCAATTGTTTATGTAGTAGACAAGTGAACAAGTCAATGGAAAAGATACAAATGATAAGGTCAGATCAATAGTCACTAACTCTTGCATTATTAATTTTCTTTTTCAATAATGTTGTTGATTTGACGTACAGCACATATCATTATGAGCCACTCAACTCAAGAATTTCCACGTTGGGTTTTATAAAGGGATCACATTCCGCATATTGATTGCTGATTTTAATATAGACTAGCTAGACTAATTTTGAACGGTCCAAATCAAACACTTTTTTGTTTTAATAGTTATAGAATTTAAAATAAAGGTTAATGTTATTTTTAGTTCTTGAAATTTAACCTCATTTTAGTTTTGATTCCTAAAATTCGAAACAATTTAGTTTTGGTTCTTGAAACCTTGTTATGAAAGCCAAATATCATTAAGTGGACCAAATTGAAGTCAAATCTCAAGGACCGCGATTATTATTATTTTTATATCAAAAAGTTTAGGTAAGTTGGGTTCCGGGAGCTCACCAGGAGGCCAGGACAGGCTTTCAGGTTCAGAGAGTACTTACAGAGGTACTCATAGATTGCCCACCAACAAAGTTCTCATATTGGTAGCGAAATTTGAACTCATGATCTTGTGAGTTATGAGCCGACTCCTTGCCGACTAGACTAACTCAAGGACCAAAATTATTAATTTTAAATTTGAGAAACCAGATCAAATTTCCAAGACTAAAAATGGTATTAACACTTTAAAATAAATATAATGTTATATCTGACACTTTTTAAAAAAACTATGTTATTAAAAAATGACAGATTAGATTTTTAAATTTAAATTATTTAGATTAAATTTTAAATAATTTAGATTTCATTATAACAATGACCACCCGCACTAATTGTCATTGTAATGGGCGGCTATCAGAAACCATTAATTAAAGCCCACTAACAGGTTTCCTTCCGTATACCCATTATAGACGGCGACACTTTCGTCATCCGTGATGCACAACGCAAAAAAAAAGACCCAAGGGTTCCATTTTTGACGTCTGATATCTGATCATAAATAGCACTGAAGTCCCCCCCCCCCCAAAAAAAAAAAAAACTTGTAAAAGCAACTAATAATATTATGAAATTTTTTAATAGTTACATAACTTTTCCTTACATTTGGTCACCCACTCGGACCACTCCCCCTTTTGAGCAAGAGGAAGCAGTGGATGATGAAAGGAGATGATTTTTCTTTTGATTTCCTCTTTGTACATAGATTTTCTGGTAGCAATATATTGATACAGTTTTCATTAAAAATGATCTTTTTAATAAACTCATCGAACTTTGTGTTTCTCTATCTAAATTATTTAAGTTAGGGATAAACTCAAAAAATATTATCAGTTTAAGATAGATTTAATGTTTTAACAGTCATTCCTTAGTAGTATTGAGAATTAGTTAAAAATGCCATATAATAAATACTAGAGGGAGTATAAAATGTTATGAATATAATAATATCTTTGTGGATGTCCATATATCTCTCATTATCTCCTATATCTCCTATAATCTCTAATATCTCTCATTATCTCTATATCCCACAATTATCTCATATTATTATGTAATTTGTAGATTCTATCAAAGAGTGTAAAGCTGTGTCTATAAATAGAGGTCATGTATAATATATTGAGCACTCTTAAATAGAATGAGAAATACTCCCTCTTGTTGATCCTCTCTTCCTCTGTATGATTCTTTTATATTTCTTCTTTATTTATAACACGTTATCAGCACGAGGCTCTAACCAAGGTGCGTATAATATACCTTTCTACCCTAGCATAATTTTAGAGCATCATCTCTATTATTTTTCTAAATATCCTTTACTCTGTTCAAATAAAAATATCTTAAGCATCATATGTATGGTGTTTCAGAGTATCCGCATTCCTATTTAATTTATCTAGGATAATCTAAGCCATTATATGGAATTAAAAGGATTATCTACTGTTGTTTTAAATATCGGGTTTCGTGGCTATGATTGGAGATTTTTTTCCCCTCTATTTCTTATTGACTTGATGTCACTATTTCGATGGAACCCGAAGTTCCAATAGATACCAACAATATTCGTAAAGAGTTATCATCTAAAGTTAAATGGCCAGAAGCTATATAATTCTAAGTTTTCATCTCATTGTAATTAAATGGCCAGAAGCCATATAACTCTGATTTTCCATTCTTTTCAAATTAAATGGCCAAAAGCCATATGATTTTGATTTTTTATACTATAGCCAGAAGCTATACAACTTTGAGTTTTTATGTTATGGCTAGAAGCCATATATATATGGTTAATTCTCTATTTTTTTAAATGACTTGAAGTCATATATATTTGATATTTTATCTTATTAAATAACTAGAAGTATTTAGGTATAAATTTTCCATCTTATGGCTAGAAGCCGTATATATTTGATTATTGTTATCTTATTAAATGGCTAGAAGCCATGTAATTTGAATTTTCTATTTTATGGCTAGAAGCCATATATATAATTTTGTTTTATCTTATTAAATGGCTAATTGCATATAAATTTGATTTTCTATCTTACGGCCAGAAGCCATAGATATTTGAATTTTTTTTATCTCATTAAAAGGCTAGAAGCCATATGATTTGTATTTTCTATTTTATGACCAGAAGCCATATATATTTAATTTTTCTTTATTTATATATATCATGTTGAACTTTCTATTTTATAGCCAGAAGCCATTTATATATATTTAATTTTTCTATATCTTATTAAATAGTTCACATTCATGTAATTTTGATTTTCTATCTTATGACTAGAAGTCATACATATTTAATTTTTTTATTTTATTAATTGGCTTGAAGCCATATAACATCAAAGTTTTATCTTATGGTCAGAAACCATCTTTAATTTTTTTTATTTTGAAATTAAATAGCTAAATGCCATGTATCTTTATTTTCTTTATTAAATGGTCTAAAGCCATATAGTTTTGATTATGAGAAGGATCATTATATGGTATGTTTATAAAAAAAAATTATGACAATTAGAATTATAAATAATGTAGCCCAGAAAACTAATGATTATATAGTGAAGGATGTATTGGTAAAAGAGTTTATCTTTTCTCTTTATTTCATGTTACATTTAATTAATTTAAAATTCAAGTTTTATTCTTATCTTATTCTCATATATTTTTGACATTCAATTTGATATTTATTAATATTATAATTTTCTATTACTAAATGGCCAGCAGCCATTACACTCATGTTATTGAATGGCATGAAAATAATAACTTATGATATTTATGGTTCAAATATCAAGGGATACAAATTATTTTTAAAATATATATTTACTATATAGAGTCTTGAAGACTAATGACTTATAAATAGTCCTGAAAGCTTATGATTTAAATTTTCGTAACTATATAGTTTGATTTTAGCTCTTGTAGATCTTTTCAAATTTTTGTTGAATTTATAAATTTATGAATAAGTTTTGAAGCATTACATAATATATACAAAGAAATAAAGTTTTTGAATAACGAAATATCGAGAAAATATATATATTTTGTCCCAAAAAAATACTTCATATTTTGAAAAAAGTATAACAAAAAGTGAAGTATATCATATAGTGAAATAATAACATATTTTAGTTCCTGAAGAACTATATATACCATTTTCTTTTTGAAGAACTATATGTAGTCAAAAAATTGATATAGTTCCAGAAGAACTATATATACCTTTTTCTTTTTGACGAACTATATGTAGTCAAAAAATTGATATAGTTCCAGAAGAACTAATAACCAAATATTGATATAGTTCCAAAAGAACTAATAGCAATGTTGGTATAGTTCCTGAAGAACTAGTAACAAAATCGATATAGTTCTTGAATAACTAATGTAGCTCCCCCCATTATTTTTGTGGGCAGAAAAGAAATTGATAATAAAAAAATTATAACCCACAAACATTTATATTAGAATATTTTCTTATCAAAGGATCTTAAGGTGAGAGCTCAATTTGATTGAAATCTATTATTATATATGAATCAGAAAGTATTTAGATTTCCAAGTTAAAGATATGTTATTAGCTTACTATATATTACTCACTGTATTTGAAATACAGAAATAAGAAAAATATATTTATATGACTCATACTTGAGAGGGAGATTGTTAAAATACAAGTGTGAATCATGTTGGATAGAATTTGTTATTATTAATATTAATGTCATTCCTTATATCTCATGTTCCTTTTGAAAAAAAAAAAAAAAGCTCCAGAAGAGCTAGTAGCGCTCAACCTTCCATGAGTGCACAGGTTTTTACCATTTGGGTAAAAGATAAAAACTAATGCTCTAGAAGAGCTATGTCATAATTTATTATCCTGAAGATAAAATCTATAATTGATAACATATTTCTTATAGAATATTAAGGAGAAAAATAAATAGTATAACATGGTAACAAGAAGTTTACCAATAATTGAGAATAATTTTACAATAAACCAGAAGTTTATACATTCATAGTTTGGTCACGACCGGTTAGATCATCTCGGATCATAATGATACAAAATATCATAAAAAACGTGCATTGTCATTTGTTAAAGAACCAGAAGATTCTTTAAAAATGATATATGACTCAAGAATTTGTATATGTTGCTTGTTCTCAAAGAGAACATCACTAGCTGTGTTCAAAATCGGATCCGTACAGATTTATAATGTATCAACTTTATATATGAGCCCATTTAGACACCATGTAGATCAAAGTAATACTCTATAAGTAAAAGATGCATCTATAAAATGGTCACAAGTGTTTATAATCAACTTGCAACCTGAAGTTTGCAAATATGTTTAGATGATTATATGGACTACATAAGTTCTTGATTATGAAATCAATATGATTCTCGTTGAGATTGCTAGTGATTGTTCCTCTTATTGCTGATGATTATATACTTAGCAAAAGCCTCCATAAGTAGTTAGATCAGAGTTTATGAGAACAAAATTTCCATTTGAGTATTGGGATGATTGATTTTATATTTTACACATAAATGTATCAAGCCAACAATGTATTGTGAATTCTCCCATTATAATTGACTTTTGGTCAGGAGACAGACATCTTTCATCTTAGAATATACAATATCTATTATTCTACTGCAATAATGCACATAGATGGATATTAAAAGTAAGTTTGGATCACTGTTGAATAAGAATCTCTTTATTCTTGTTTGTCTCTAAATGAAACAAATAATGTTTCTAAAGGAGATTTATGGATTTGGAAGACCTACATTACATGTTCCCAATATGAGGGGGAGAAAATATGTAGCTGGAAAAGAAAACACATGGAATGTATTTTCACTACCAAATATAGATCCTCAAATATAGTAGTATGAACTAGAAGTTCATAAAGTATTGCATTTGTAAAACATTACTAATGTCTGCCATTGACCCAAATGAGAATTCTTAATTCTTATATTCTAGCTAAAAATGCTCATATTCTTGAAGACATGCTAAAAGCATGAGACTATGATCGGTTCCAAAAGAAAAGAAAAAGGAGCACATGATCATGATGATCATACTAAGGAGGCATGAATTGCAAAAGAGGTTAAGACATAACTCTTTGACCCCTGAAGAGGTTTAAGTGTCTGAAAGCAATAAAGAGATCTCGATATATTATGTCGTAAAAGAAAATGGGACCGATAAAGGAATAAAATTGTCGACAATAATTTGATTGATGATATCACATGATCAAGTGAGGATCTTATATATAAACCTGTTATGAGATACAGATAGAAAAATGGTTGGCCAACAGAAAAGAAAAGACGCAACATTATAACAGGAGATTTGTGTATCTCTAACCCAAGCACCTGAAGTGTAATGGGCTTTGTACAGAAAAGAGAAATACAATCTTGTGGTGAATTAAAATTTTTATGTATCTTATCGATCTGGCAGTTTGATAATATATGAAAATATCTCATATGCGTCTAGAAAATACAGTGACTCACTATGTAGTGAAATTATATGTGAATCCCAAAAGGATTCAAATCCTTGTATAAATATAAACGATCCAATACATAAATAGATATG